ACATGGGCCTCCCATTTCTATGGAAAGCTTGTTTCTTTCCCGGTCCAAATCTTCCACCCAGAGAGTTGTCACCAAGTGATCTCGGCACTAAAGAGTGTCGACTATTGGCATCGACGATATCTTCAGATGAATGAGGATGATGTGCGGTCTTAGGGGCAATGGAACCCTTCTTCTCGGTCTCATGATCCATCACCTTAGTAGATTCCACAGTTTTTGGAGGAGGAGCAACATGGTGCTGTTTGAGACCATCTGATTGTTCACCATCTTCGTGAGTCTGCGCGGCTACGGGACGCCTCTCGCCTAGGTTCTCAGCCTGCTTCTGCTCGGCGGATCTTGGGATCAGAGAGACCCTTTTGAGAGGATCGGCCGGTGGGTCAGCACCGAAGGGCTTTGGGTTCAGTTGGAAGCGTTTGGCCATATTGGCTAAGAGATATGGGTTGAAGAGAAAAGATATATGATGTGTTGAGGAGGTGAATGATTGGGTTAGTACACATGCATGTATATATACGTGAAAAAAAGATATAAGAAAACTTGTGGCAACTTTGAATCAACTACTTTGCTTCACCTATGGTTCAATATTTGTTTTGTGTCTTTGACACTTCCGTAGACGATTCTTCATAGTTACTTAACATTACTAATTAACTGCACATCAGTAATACTACACGCAATTAACATAATATAACGTTTTTTTTACAACACTATTTGATTCGAAGAGTTTAAGATGATACAAAAAGTAAAAACAAAAAACATAAGATGAGATGTCATTAGACACCAAACAATAGTGTAAGAGACCTCACGAATTTTTTTTTATTATTGAGCCTTCAAAGCGAGTAAGTGATGTAACCACACCGGTGCATTTCGAGCAATGTAAGACTGGTGACGCATACCACGAATAACACTTAAAACAATTGTCGCTGTAGCTTCATTGCATTCAGGAAAAACGTGCTCCAAACTCCATGAATCTAATCCTGCTAGAAGAAAAGAGATATTGTGGCGAATATGACTGTGACTATATAACGTATTTTTTAGCAAGGGAAACTAGAAGCAATAACCACAAAAAAATATAATTGGTGAAACAACCATAATTAACATACAATAGATAAAATATAGCATTTTTTTAACTCAACATCTAACTTTTCATTAACAAAATAAGTAGTTTACATTAGGCTCTTTTTAAGCTCAACATCTAATTTTTCACTAGGTGATTTTCCCGTGCTCATGCACGGGTATAAATATTTTTAAAGTAAATATATGATAATAATTGATTACTATTTAGTTTAATTTTCAATTAATTTATAATTTGTATGTATCATTTATATTAATAATATTATATTACTTTAATTATACTTTAATTTTATATATGTTATATCTAGTCGATTTTGTTGTTTTTACGGTTGATTTAGTTATCATTTAGATAAATTGCATTGCATATCTGAATTCACCTGTAATATTTTAAAATATATTAATTTTTATTAATTACATATTTGCATATAGTGGGTGTTGTCTTAGATATGTAAATATATTTTAGTAAAATTATGTATAACTTAAGATATATTGTGCTTAGAATGAATTAAAAATTAACTAAAGTGTCTGATTTCAAAATACGTAAATTAATATAAAGATAATATTCTAAAGTCTCATGCATATATATAAATTTTACAAAAGAACTAAAATTGTAAGAGTTGGTTAATATTTATTTTCATTTATTAATATGTTTTGTGTTATTCTATGATCAATAAAAGGCTACATGCATAAGTAGTTGATATATTTTTGGAACCTCATAGACACATATCAATATTTACAATAATTAAAACATTTATAAATTCTAACTTTATGCTTTAGATTTATTGAATGGAAACTAAAATTTATTTTAAATAATCTTAAAATTGGAAATTCAGATTTGCTTTGGTATTTTGATTATGGTTATATTTAGTTTCACAAACACAAAAATTTAAAATTTAAAATAAAATTTAATATTAAGAAAAATGTAATTTTAATAATGATAAAATTATTTGATCAAGCGATGTTTATTGTTAAATTTATTTTTTCTTTTTAATATCTCTTAAAAATAAGAACTACATAAAATTATGATTGTATTAGAAAATAATATTATATAAGTAAAATATAATTTAGAGATAATTTTCTGTAGTTGAAAGATATTATAGTCAACTAAATATATGAAAAATAAATAAAAAAAATTCAATAATACTAATTATAAAATATTTTTATTACTCTAAAAGTATATTTTATGTTATTTAAAAATATTTTTAAATGTATTATTACTATTTTGTGAACTTTTCTTTTTTTTATGAAATCATATTATATATACATATATTTTTTGTTTTCAATTTGTTTTTATGACATTTTTAAATGTATTATTACTATTTTGTGAACTTTCCTTTTTTACGAAATCATATTATATATACATATTTTTTCCTTTTCAGTTTGTTTTTTGACTTTATAAAAATTTCTTTTTTATTACATATATTTTTGGAAATTTTTGAAAAGAAAACTAAATAAAAGAATTAATAATATTATTTTAACTATTTTTAATTTATTAAGGGTATCAATGTAATCAACCATCGTGAGAGTGAATGTGAGAACGACACATAGGAAACTGACTTCTCAAATAATATTATAGAGATTAACCAAATCAATAGTTTATATTAGGCTTATTAACCTTTAGACACGACTTCAACCACAATAGCTCAATAGAATACAATTTAGAGACAATGGACGCATGGTTTAGCTCCTCACAATTATATCATTTTTGTACAAACAAACGAAGAAACGATGATGTTGCAAAAACCTTTTTACATTTTTCACATATACTCTCACACAGACGTGTTTTGTTTGAAATGGATATATATATATATATATATATATATATATATATATATATATATATTTCATAGACATCTAATCTTTTTAAGATAAACATGTTGTATTCAATTCTATATATTTTATATAGAATAAAAAATATATATATATATATATATATATATATATATATATATATATATATATTCAAATTATTCTATGATATAAACAAAATTTTAAGTATGTATGATTTTATATATTCATATAGTATAATGAATTGAAATAATAAATGTTCACACGGAATTAAAAAGAAAATAGTCTTTTTTTTAGCACGAAAAAAGAAAATAGTCTAATTATGTGACAAATGTTCGTACTTTTTTGACAGAAAGTTATGAGATTGATGAAGGGAGGCGTCAACTATTTGTATATTGTCCATGAATCTAAACAACTCGTGATACTCGTTGAAAGGGACAAAGCTACCTTGCTTGGGTATTTGTTATATTGTCCATGAATCTACCAACAAAACGAATTACACACAAACACATGCATGCTGTTGAAACTTGTGTGTTTATAAATATTTTAAATTTCACAGTGTGTGTAGTTTTTTCCTTTCAGTTTTTCTTTTGTATTACAGGTTCCTCCAATCTCATTGGTTTCTAAAAATCTAGAATTTTCTTTTTACTGTTTTTGAATTTGTCTTGTAAGTTTCTCCAGCTAGATTTGGTCGTCAAAGCTTCTTTTTCTTTCTTATCTATGTTTCAAACTTGTTATTCAAGATCAACTTCTTTTCTATATATTTTCCATTCGTAGTAATATTAGGAAAACGTTATAATGCATTTATACTCTTTAAATGAAATAATAGACTAATTGTTTGTTTACTCATACAGAGGTTTGAAATTCTTATAAGCAATCACAGCATTAAAAGGGTCAGGCCTAGAAGCTAAACCAATTAAACCCATAAACCAATTCAGAACCGGTTTCTCAGCTCCTCCACCAGGAGGAGGCTGTTGCCGGATGATCTCCGGCTGAGTAAACCCTTGGACAGACTGAAAGTATTGAACCACGAGCTGCACCCGACCGTACTCGGTTCCATCTCTCCAAACCCTAATTGCTTTCTCATAAAACATCCGATTGCTAAAACTCACTATCAACGCACCTCCCGGTTTCAACACTCTATACACTTCCGCAAACACCTGTCGTGTTAATATCCATGTCCGGTTTAGGAATTTAGACATGTGTATAGTAAACCGATATTCAAGTTTACTATTACGTACGCACCTTTTCGGGTTGTTGCAGATACTGCACACCGACAGAACATAAAACTGCATCGAAATATTTGTCTTGGAACTCGAGTTTCTGGTCCTCGTTAAGATCCTTGATGAAGAAGTAATCGAGTCTAGGGTTTCTGGCAAGCTCCTGTGCGTTAAGACCATGTCCCACTACTTTCTCGTACTTGACGTCTTCTGGTAGATGGCTAACCCATGAGCTCATCAGGTCTAATACAATCGAACCGGATCTTAACCGGTTTCTGTAGAGATCCGTTAATGAGGATATGAAGCCGTCGTCGACGTGGTTCACGAACCGTGGGTATGAATAGAATTCGCGGTCAGGATCGGCGTTGAGTTTGGTACGACCTTCATTGTTGAGTACTAAACGTTGGATCTTACCGGCCGAGGATGGTGGTCGCGGATCAGTTTCATCGGTTTGGTTCGATATGTTAGTAACTTTTGGTCGAAGAGTTCTTCTGGGTCTCAACAGAATTGAAGATTGATGCAGGTAGAATCGAAGAGAATCCATAAAAAGCTAGAAGCAAAGAATCGTTTGCAGGAAAAAAGTGAGCGAACCTTTAAGATTTGTCTTTTTAGTTTAATTTTTTTTTTTTTAAATAAGTGAGTGGATAATTGATGAGTGGTGAATATTGATTTAGGCCCGGTTTGGTTTGGTCCTAAATTGTATAATTTATCTACGTTTTTTCCTCTAATAATTTTTTTTTGAAATGTCCTTCTTGGGCTTCTATTCTATGGTTGGGGAAAATATATAAAAGAGCAAAGCCTTTTTGATAGTCTAATACTTACCAGTTAATGTTATTCAAATCAACCCCCCTAATTAAATGGAAAATCTGTTAGACATTTTCAAGAAAAAAGAGCATTTTTACAACATCCCATCAATCTAAAAGCAGTTTAGTTTCGGTTTTGTGCTAACCGGTGGTAAACTGGTCTGGTTCTAATAAACAGAATCAAGCTACATACTAAACCCACAACAGACAAACAACCCCAAAACAAAAACGTTGCGAAATAACACCTTCTTCCCACGCAAACAACCGTGTGCGACACGACAGATGGCGTTGTTGCATGCTTGTCATAGACAGAACCAGCCATGTATCCGTAGAAGAGTGAGCCGATGGGAATGTTTGTGATGAGTATGTTCTGGTTTACACCAACGCTGTTGCGTCCAAATAGGTCCGAAGTTACTGAAACCGCTGCCGCAAAAACGAACCCTGAACTTAACCCTATTAGTGCGGTCGCAACCTGTAGCAGCACCGTCTTGGATGAATATGCGAGGATGAAGAAGGCCAAAGGTGTAGGAAGTAGAGAAATGGTGAACCAGCCTGTTCTTGTCAAGTAGTCTAGTTTCTTGCGTGTAAAGTCAGGTGCAGAGGAGAGCAACCTTCCCAAAAAAGAGAAGGCAGAGAAGAGTGTCACTAAGGATTTTGCGTTTGAGCTGCTCTGTCCTAGAGACTGAGCGATCTGTCCTAGGTTGTTGCTGTAAACAAGACCAATTGTTCCACCGCAGAAATAAGAAATGTAGTATAGCCAAAACTCCAGGCTACGGACCAGCATTCCAAGAGAGTGTTCATCTCCTAGTCGTCGTCCCACTTTGTCACCCTCTGCATTAATCTCCTCATGATCCACTCCCCTGCTTCTTGGGATCTTGGGCTCCTCTATGTTAACAACCGCATAGCCAGAGCTGTGATAGTGGAAACAAGAGTGGAGAGAACGGAGAAGATAGTCGAGAAAGGGGACGCACAATGGGAAAAGGAGAAGGAAAATGGCTCCGAGGAAATGCCAACGAGGTGATGAAGCTAAGTAGGTGTCTGAGGAAGGCAAGAGAAGGTAAAAGCATGTGATGAGTGCTAAGACATTGAAGATGATGAAGACTCGGGTCTCATCAAGGGTTCGGGTAGCATCGGATGCAGAAGGGTTAGTGAGGACAGGCCAGAGGGCTAAAAGAGAGACGAATAAAGGGATGAGAGAGTTGAGGAGAAGGTAAACGTCAGAGCTACCTGATGATTTCCCACTGATGACTTCATGGCCAAGCGTGTACAAGGCAGCACTGATTCCGTTGAAACTCACAACGAGAGACAGCGCGAGGGAATGGTTGGATTCAAAGTGTCGAACGCAGAGGACGAAGCAGACAGTGTTGAACCAGCAGATGCTTAACCCAGCTAACGAGCAGCAGACAAGAACCAGAGAGTAGGGAAGATCGATTACGTCGGAGGCGATGGATAACCACTGGACACCGTAACCGACGAGCCCCATCGCGGCAGCGGAGAACAGGACGGCGGAGACAGGGAAATATGCAACCGCGAAACCGGAAGACCAGCCCAATGCCTTGCCCAAATCGGAAGCGACAGCCATGTAATTGAGGCGGGACTGAGAAACGCCCATGGAGGATTTCATGTCGGAAGAATAGGCGGAGAAATCAAAGTTAGTGCCTGTGAAGGCTTGAATCCAGATGGCCGCCACCAACACCGTCCATCTACGCCACCATTGGAGCATAGATATAACTGGGGGTGTCGGAGATTGCTCATCCTCCTCCTCCTCCTCCTCCTTCGCCGTAGTCGTTATCGTCTTTGGTGGTTTCATTTGGCCGTCCGCTCACAATCTTTTGCCTCCTTTTTTCAAAAAAAAAAAAAAAAACGTCCGGTTTAAAATTCTTTTTACTATTTTAAAGTTCCACAGATTACTCACCACAACCGCTAATTAACGACAGGTTAATCTTTTTTAAAAGGATTTTTGATAATTAGTGCACCATACGTCATTGTTTCTCAGGATCGATTTCAACACAGTTTTTTTAGGACTTTATCATCTTCCTCCCACACATCTTTTTTTTCTTGGGTTGAAATTCTTCTTCCATTTCCAGATCTAAAAAGCACATAGAGATTTTGCTGAGTTTTTCTTCTTCAGTTTCAAGCTTATTGGAGTTTGAACAAAGTTGATGTGTTAAATAAATAAGCAATGAAAGTTCAACATCGGATATTAGACAAGAGAAAGTCTAGTGCAAGTATTCCATACAGAGTGTTTAGAGAAAGTTTAATATATATAGTATGAATATTTTTGGGGGAGATTCCACTGGTATGAAACTTGTTGGGGAGAAACTTTTCTAAAAACAAATATGTTAAGGTTTAGATCCAAAGCCGACAATAATATCATACTAAGCCAGATATTAGGCATCTAAACTTTTAGTAGAGCGTCTGACCCAAAAGGGCATCTGATTCGTCACAACAGTGGAGGTAATTGGTAAATGAGAGAAGGTTCATTAATTTTCTGATCAATCTATATATACACCTTTTTAGAAAAAGTCAAAGAAATTGAAAATTTTGTTGCATTTTCACTGCCGACAGAACAAGGCTGATCATATGAAATTATTTGAAATATTATGTTCCATATATAAACCAAAACGTAGCAGACTGCACACACACACACACACACACACAAATGTTATTAGTCATAGATTTGGACAAACAAAAGCAAACTTTGGAATAAGATCAAAGAAGAGTTTATTAATTATTTTGGAAGGAACGTTTATAATGTAGTTGGTCAGTCATCAGCTAGATCACTGGGAGTTTCATCGGCATTACGTTTGATCGTGAGGACTGGACACTCAGCATGTTTCACACAGAACCCACTCACCGTTCCAACAAAGACCCTGCAATGCAAGAGAGTAGCCAGGAAAAAGACTCAGAAGTATGAAAAAACAGAACAGATCAATGTTTCAAACAGCAACACTAGTTAGGAACTTAATGCTAGTCCAACATTACATTCCCTTTGTTGGGCTATGATCCTGTCCAGTTTTAAAGTAATCAATTTAGTCTCTATTTTAAACTCAAAAAATACTTGTGTCATAGCAAAATTCCTATCCAACACAAATTACATATCGTAGTTAAAAAGTGTGATCAGATTATTGGCATTTCGATCTGATCGCTACGCCGCTTGACATGTAATAAAGCAATAAATCGAACATACTTTTGGAAGCGACCAAGACCACGGCTTCCCAAAACAAGAAGATCTGGTCGGACCCGGCTGACTTCTTGGCAGATCACATCCTTGGGATCACCTTTCTTGATCCATGCCTCGCAACTAACCTACACACAATTAAGAAGCAAAATTCATTAGCTTATTTAAACATCACAGAAGTGCACAAGTTATAATGATTATGTAAGGGATCAGAAGATGAGCATAACTTGAAAAGAGAGAGAGAAAGTGCTTTAATTTACCCCAATCTCATGACATTTTCTAACGAAAAACTCGAGAAGGTGAAGACCTTTAGCCTTGTTAGACTCTCTCATGTCTTTGAAATCATCAGGAGAAGCATATATGCTGTCTACCTCATCAAAACCGTCTTCGTCCACCACATGTACGTGGAGCAGGAGAATCTTGAAATCGGATGTGTTGGATCGGACCATCTTCTCCAGGGTCCATTCGAAAGCTCTTTTGCTGCTTATCGATGGGTGAGGGTTGCCTTTGATCGTTGATTCGTTCACAGCCACCATCACTCGTGTGGGCTCCCTCTCCATCTTTCACCAAACTATTTCGTCTTCCTTCTGGAGTTCTCTGATACTATATACTTGAACAAGTCCTTTTTTAAGACAATGATCGGGTCAGAAGATGGACAACTAGGCTCTGTGTCGTGCGCCGTGTGTATAGAAGCGTACTTTACCAAATAATCTCACAAACCTGCTATTGTGCGCTGCTTTTTCTGTTGCCTTTCTCACGATGCCCCAAACAATGTTAATCAAAATTTGAAATAGTATAATTTGGTTAATGGATCTGTAAATAGATTTAAAAATTTATTGTTAATCGTTTCGAATTCTTGTTTTGAATGGAGTAATTTTTTATTCAAATCCGTCGAATTGTTATGTTTAACATATAAAATAAAATTTATCCAAATTCGATAAAATTTAGAAAAGACAATAAATGAAGTAATTATAATTATTTGAAAAATACAATAAATGAACGGTTAAAGCTAGTTTAGTAGAAAATAAAATATATAAGTAATCAATTAAGAAATGGTAAGAAGTTTTTTGTACTTCTGTTTTAATAGATTAGATAACAAGGAATACAAATTTTTAAAATTTCAAAACTTTAAAAGGGGTTAGTGACCTCAAAAAATTTGGTAGATTTTGATGTTATCCTCTGGAGACGATGAAACATTTTTAAAATGATTGTTTTCAAATTTTTAAACACTATAATTTGTTTAACGGGTCTTTAAAAGTATACTAGAAGGAATACATGTTTTGAAATTTTCAAACATTCATAGGGGTTAGCTCACGACCTCGACAATTTGGCTGATTTTGACGTTATCCTTTGAAGATAACAAAAAATTTCAAAACGATTGTTAAACAGTTTAAACACTAAAATTTGGTTAATGGGTCTCTATATAAGTATACTAGCAAGGAATACACTTTTTGAAATTGAAAAATATCATAGGGCTTAGCCCACAACCTCGAAAATTTGGTGGATATTGACGTTATCCTCAGAAGACGACAAAACATTGTTCAAAACGATTGTTAAGCATTTTCAACACTATCATTTGGTTAATGTGTCTTTAAATAAGTATACTAGCAAATAAAAAATGTTTTAAAATTTTCAAAAATTTAAAGGGGTTAAAATACGATCTCGAAAAATTTGGTGAATTTTGATATTATCCTAGGAGATAAACTAAACAATTTCAAAAGAATTGTTAAGCAGTACAAAAATAAAAAAAAATTCTAATTTTTCTTGAAATATGTGGGTTAACCCCTTTGAAAATTGAATGTTTTGATAAATGCTATCTATAATTTTTAGACACTTTAGTGATGTTTAAAAATACCAAACCACACTCTAAATGTATATTAACATAGGCTAAACATATTTTCATGGTATAAGATCATCATTCTAACTTTCCAACGAGTAATTTTTTTAAACTTTATATATGATCTAATTAGTGTACTAACCACTACAAAATCACTATTTTTTAGAGAAATGAGAACATATAAGGTCTCAAACGTCTTTAATCTTCAAAATATGTCAGTTCATGATGCAAATATATATTAAAACAAAAATAAAAAATTAAATTTTTCTTGAAATATGTGGGTTAACCTCTATGAAAAAATTGAATTTTTCGAAAAATGCTATCTATAATTTTTAGACATTTTAGTGTTGTTTAAAAATAGCAAACCACACTCTAAATGTATATTAAGGTAGGCTAAACATATTTTCATGGTACATGGCCATCATTTCTAACTTTCCAACGAGTAATTTATTTAAACTTCATATACGATCTAATTAGTGTACTAACCACTATAAAATCTATATTTTCTAGAGAAATGAGAACGTATAAGGCCTCAAACCTCTTTAATCTTCAAAATATGTCAGTTCATGATGCAAATATTCATTAATTTTTTATTTTTTTTTAATTTTATTTTGAAATGTCTGGGTTAAACCCTTTGAAAAAATTACCTTTTTCGATAAATGCTATTTATAATTTTTACACACTTTAGTGTTGTTCAAAAATACCAAACCACACTATAAATATATATTAATGTAGGCTAAACATATTTTTATGGTACATGGTCATCATTTCTAACTTTCCAACGAGTAATTTTTTTAAAATTCATATATGATCTAATTAGTGTACTAACCACTATAAACTTTTTATTTTCTAGAGAAATAGGAACATATAAGGTCTCAAACCTCTTTAATCTTCAAAATATGTCAGTTCTTGGTACATGGTCATCGTTTCTAACTTTCCAACGAGTAATTTAGTTTAACTTCACATACAATCTAATCCGTGTACTAACCACTATAAAATCTATATTTTCTAGAGAAATGAGAACATATAAGGTCTCGAACCTCTTTAATCTTCAAAATATGTCAGTTCATTATGCAAATATGCATTAAAAAAAAATAATTTTTTTTTTTTAAATTTTCATGAAATTTGTGGGTTAACCCCTTTGAAAAAATTGAATTTTTCGCTAAAAGCTATCTATAATTTTTGATACTTTAGTGTTGTTTAAAAATACCAAAAAACACTATAAATATATATTAACGTAGGCTAAACATATTTTCATGGTACATGGCCATCATTTCTAACTTTCCAACGAGTAATTTAGTTTAACTTCATATACAATCTAATCAGTGTACTAACCACTATAAAATCTATATTTTCTAGAGAAATGAGAACATATAAGGTCTCAAACCTCTTTAATCTTCAAAATATGTCAGTTCATTATGCAAATATGCATTAAAACAAAAATAAAAAAAAATTCTAAATTTTCTTTAAATCTGTGGGTTAACCCCTTTGAAAAAATTGAATTTTTCGATAAATGCTATCTAGAATTTTTAGACACTTTAGTGTTTTTTAAAAATACAAAACCACACTCTAAATGTATATTAAAGTAGGCTAAACATATTTTCATGGTACATGGTCATCATTTCTAACTTTCCAACGAGTAATTTTTTTAAACTTCATATACGATCTAATTAGTGTACTAACCACTATAAAATCTCTATTTTCTCGAGAAATAGGAACATATAAGGTCTCAAACCTCTTTAATCTNAACATATTTTCATGGTACATGGTCATCATTTCTAACTTTCCAACGAGTAATTTTTTTAAACTTCATATACGATCTAATTAGTGTACTAACCACTATAAAATCTCTATTTTCTCGAGAAATAGGAACATATAAGGTCTCAAACCTCTTTAATCTTCAACAAATGTCCTTTTATGATGCAAATATGAATTAAAAAAAAATTAAAAAAATTTCTAATTTTTCTTGAAATGTGTGGGTTAACCCCTATGAAAAAATTGATTTTTTTTATAAATGCTATCTATAATTTTTAAACACTTTAGTGTTGTTTAAAAATACCAAACCACACAATAAATATATATTAACGTTGGCTAAACATATTTTTCATGGTACATGGTCATCATTTCTAACTTTCCAACGAGTAATTTTTTTAAACTTCATATATGATCTAATTAGTGTACTAACCACTATAAAATCTATATTTTCTAGAGAAATGAGAACATATAAGGTCTCAAACCTCTTTAATCTTCAACGAATGTCAGTTTATGATGCAAATATGAATTAAAAAAAAAATTAAAAAAATTTCTAATTTTTCTTGAAATGTCTGGGTTAAGTCCTATGAAAAAATTGAATTTTTCGATAAATGCTATCTAGAATTTTTAGACACTTTAGTGTTGTTTAAAAATACCAAACCACACTCTAAATGTATATTAACGTAGGCTAAACATATTTTCATGGTACATGGTCATCATTTCTAACTTTCCAACGAGTAATTTAGTTTAACTTCATATACAATCTAATCAGTGTACTAACCACTATAAAATCTATATTTTCTATAGAAATGAGAACATATAAGGTCTCAAACCTCTTTAATCTTCAAAATATATCAGTTCATTATGCAAATATGCATTAAAACAAAAATAAAAAAAATTTCTAAATTTTCTTGAAATCTGTGGGTTAACCCCTTTGAAAAAATTGAATTTTTTGATAAATACTATCTACAATTTTTAGACACTTTAGTGTTGTTTAAAAATACCAAACCACACTATAAATATATATTAACGTAGGCTAAACATATTTTCATGGTACATGGTCATCATTTCTTACTTTCCAACGAGTAATTTAGTTTAACTTCATATACAATCTAATCAGTGTACTAACCACTATAAAATCTATATTTTCTAGAGAAATGAGAACATATAAGGTCTCAAACCTCTTTAATCTTAAAAATATGTCAGTTCATTATGCAAAGATGCATTAAAACAAAAATAAAAAAAATTTCTAAATTTTCTTGAAATCTGTGG